TCAATAATTATCCTAATTATATTTTAGATTTTTTATATTTAAAATAAGATGTTTATCCTGTATTTGATGAAATAGGATATGAATGAAATCGGATAGGGATGAAATCGTTTAGGGATGAACGAGTTTAGGGATGGCTTTAACAGGTTGTACCATTAGCAATAGATGTTCTCTTTAAGAGTTTAAGAGTTTTTAAGAGTTTTAGCCAAATGCTTTATAATATAGTATAGATATATATATATATATTAATATTATAAATGCATATATAAATTGATTTGATGATTTGTAACTCCCCATTAATTGTTTGGGAGTTACATATCAAATCAATTTACTGAAATACCCTTGTAATTAAATTGTGAATATGACATAAACCTACTAAAAGAATGAAATTTGATTGATTGATATGGTTTACAAAGTTAACACAAAATTATTGATTAACATTTGATATTCCCCCTCTCTCTCTCTCTCTCTCTCTATATATATATATATATATATATATATATATATATTGTGTGTGTATGTATTTAGTATTTTCAAGGTGTTTATAATGAGTAGAGAAAGTTGAGTTGGTGGTTGGTGATTGTCAGAAAGTGATGGGCCCTGATTGAGAGCACATTCATATGCACTAAACCATGTCTCTCTACTTTTCGTTAATTTGTTTTCTTAACATGTTTTAATTTGCCGCCAACAGTAATATCATATCTTTGGTAATTTAACTAATTACTAACTTCTTCAACTAATTACGAACTTCATTATACTCAAAAAAAGTATAAAACCATTTGATAAAATAATATATCATCATGCTCTCTTTCATATATCAAATTTCCCCTAAACATAATCAACTTTATGACAACTCGCATCATTATTTTCTAATACTTTCTCTTTTGCTTTTCTCTCTTTAAAAGTCTTTAGGTCATCAACATGTTTAGATCAACAATGGTATAAAGTCAGATAATCTAAAGAGAGAGATCTTGTCAAATCTCAGACACACACACACACACACACATATATATATATATATATATACACACAGAGAAAGTGCTGAACACAGTTGGGAAGCTAGTGATGACTATGCATGGATTTGAGAAACTGGTTCTTTCAGTGATCCCTGCAAGTTTTCTTGTACTTGATCTCCTACCTTTTGTTGCATCTTCATCCAATGAAAACCATCTCATCATACCTCACAAATACATTAAACAAGATTCTGATAACCACAAGGTATACCAAAGAACTCAAGCCTCTCAATGTTCTTAGAATTCGTTTATGCTTTCTGGCGTCTGTTTGCAGTAGATTCATTTGGCTTAATTACTTCATGATCAATGATGCAGGTGAGTCCTCGTATGATATTTGAAATAAAGCTTCATGGGATTCTTTTATGGGCTTCCATGGGGTTCTTGATGCCTCTTGGGGTACTCATAATAAGGATGTTTAACAAAGAAGAATGCACCCCCAGAAGGCTTAAAGCTGTCATATGCTTTCATGCTATTCTGCAGGTGATCAATTAATTTGTATATATTTTGGTTCAAATCAACTGACCTTTTAGTTAGTTGTTATTACAGCATATATTCACGATCAGATTTCCCTATATATAATCTTTTACATTGTGGGAGAATTAAAGAAATTGTGTATGCTTGTTCAAAGTCACATGCCTTTATCATTTAAAATTTTCACCTTTTTTGCCATGCCATCATAACCTCACTTTAATCATGCATTGCAAGAATTGTATATAGTGAGAGACAAGTGATGATGAATGCTGATCCCACAAGTTTAGGTGGTCTAGCCATGATCATTTAACCACATCTCCTTTAATCCATATTGCATTAATCTTCCTTTAATAAGAACCTTAGGGTAAAATGAATAGGGGTTATACCGATGCACCAACGTACCTTCGTTCTCTTATAGTCTTGTTAGGAAATATTCGACATTTTCTACCCGTTGGTCCTTGAAAAACGTCGGTTTCATGACCCTCCAACTCACAAAGGAGAAACTTTATGAGTTCCTTGATAGATTTCCATTCAAAATCATCCAATTTCTTTGTTCGATTATCATCTAGATATCCTAAGTTCTAGTTCTGGACTTGTGTACTAATATATAACAGGTAACTGCATCCTTTGAAAACACGAAAAGTTACCAGCATGATGAGAAAAGTAGCAACATAGTATAATAAAGTTTTTCCAAATTCACGTAGTACTATATAACATAGAAACATCATAATATTACTGCACTAAATTATGGAAGTTGGAAACAAATTGATATCAGTTTTCTTACTTTTGAATGCGTGTGACACAAGATCCTTGCAGTGCTTCTTGCATTTGCTGGAGCAATCCTGTCGATCATAAGCTTCGAAAATTCATTCAACAACACTCACCAGAGAATAGGTCTGGCACTTTATGCAGCCATCCTGGTGCAAACCTTGATCGGGTTTTGCAGGCCTAAGAGGTAGCTACCTATTTCGTTCTTAATTACAACCGATGACATTTGTATATGCTACAAGAAAATGGATCATTCAGAACGATCAGTATATTGTCCTTTACAGAAAAAAAAAACTCATTCTTGGTGTAGTGGTAATAAGCATAGCAAAGGATATGAAAATGGGTGTTGTTTGTTTGGCAGGGGGACTAAAGGAAGGAGCTTATGGTATGTTTTCCACTGGATATTTGGGACAACAATTTCATTAGTTGGGATTTTCAACACCTACACAGGTCTAAAACAATATCACAAAAGAACATCAAGGAATTCTAGGGTTTGGAGTATACTTTTCACAGCTGAGATCTCTTTCATGGCTTTTTTCTACCTTTTCCAAGAGAAATGGGATTACATGCAGAAACAAGCAGTAACATCATCAGGTGATGCAGGTGAACATCAGGTGGTGCAGGTGGTCACTTCCTCTGATCAAGTGGACAACCAAAAGGAGGTGATGCAATTGCCACCACCTCAGCCATCCAGGAAGAGTAATTCATTAGGGAATTATTTTGCCAAAAATAATGCCTTGAAAAAACTACTTCAAGTAACGTAAATCATTCCATGATTACACTTTTTTGGAACTGTGATTATGTGTGATTTTGGTGAAAGTGTGCGTTTGTACATTTTGGATAGCGGAGATCGATCAAATTGACTAGGAAGAATAGCTTCTTTTGTCGTATAAAATGAATGCACGAACGAACGGAAGTCTTAATTATGGTACTAGGGATTGTTATTATAGTTTGTGTCCGGTTGTATAGTATATATATGTAATGTATTTCGTCATTACTAAATGAACAAGTACATGAATTTAGTTTGATATATGTATATATACACACATACATGTGTGTGTAACTCCCAGTTAAAAGTTGTGATGTAAAACTCATCTATTTTTTCGCTTATGCTCATTGAGGAAACGAATGATCGTTTTTTATGGAGATAAAAATATTAGAGAGAGATCTCATCAAGTGATATGTGAGTTACAAAATCAATTGATCTGTAACTCTATATCACTTGATTTCATCCGGATAGGATCTCTCCCTAATAAAAAGTTGATGTTGAGGAGATGAATGGTGATTTTGTTCTACATTGCTTGTTGAGTTGAGATATTTTGGGACATGTAGATCTTTCAATTCCAATCTTATGTTTGATTTTTTGGATTGTCTAGATTTGAAATCCTATGATTTAATTGAAATCCTATAAGCATTGGATTTTGAAATTCTTAAGGAGTGCTCGGGATTTCGTAGGATTGTATGAAATAAGGTTTTAAAAATTATTTGTTTTGTAACACTACTAGAAAACCAGGTATCAGCGACAACTATCAGCGAGGAAAACATTCCCTCGCAGATCAGCGAGGGATCAGCGAGGGAAGTGACAAAAAAAACATTCCCTCGCTGATCCCTCGCTGATCTGCGAGGGAATGTTTCCCTCGCTGATCAGCGAGGGAATGTCAAAAAAAAACTCATTCCCTCGCTGATCCCTCGCTAATCTGCGAGGGAAAGTTTCTCTCGCAGATCCCTCGCTAATCAGCGAGGGATTCTGATTTTTGTGATTTCCCTCGCTGATCCCTCGCTAATTTGAGAGGGAAATTTCTTCTACAAATTCCCTTGTTGATCCCTTGCAAATCAGCGAGGGATCAGCGAGGGAAATCATAAAAATCAGAATCTCTCGCTGATCTCTAGCAAATCAGCGAGATATCAGCGAGGGAATTTGAATTTTTGTCATTTCCCTCGCTGATTTGCGAGGGATCAGCGAGGGATTTTTCTATTTTTCCTATTTTCTCATTTATATGTGTTGATATCGCGATATATGCATGTGTTATAAATATATATACCCGTCGTGAGGGATCAAAATGATATACATTCACATATACACATACGTTTAAACATATATTCATCCACCCAATCGTGGTTAGCAACTAGTAAACATTGTGTATATATGTGTATATATATATAATTGACCGACGGGTATATATATACA